ATTGTCTTGTGTTATGGTTCCAGAACTCTCTCCCTGTCGCTCCTTCGCACCTGCTCCAGCCATGGACCGAAACAGATAAACTTTATAATAATCTCAGGCTTCACCTCAAAAGGAAAATTTGTTTTAGGAACGAGCTGTGGCCACAAACAAAAGTCTAGACGCCTCCCCCCACGAGCTTCGGGAGCAAAAGGGGAAATATACTTCTTTTCACAAGCTTTTCTTCTGCGACTGCTGCCATTAAATCTGGATCTCCGGGGACTGAAGGGCATTTCCACAATCTGCGGATGGGAACGGACGGTCACATTCAGCTTTGGGAAAACTCTTTTTAAATCTGCAGTATTTTCCACCAACAGCAGCCGCCCCCGAGGACTCTCCGTGGTCCGACACACACTTATAGGGCAAAAGATTAACTATTGAAAAATGTTCTTAAAATAAATTTATTCCCATCAATGCTCAAAAATAACCTTGACAGATGCAAGTCCTAAAAGCTAAATGCTAAATGCTAACTAGCTCCTGCTTCGGCCTTAAGAACTATGGCTTTTTAAAATCGTCCATCGGGAAGTCAATGAATGAATGAATGAATGAATTCTGTATTTAGAGCCACGGTAAACAAGAGCAGACAAAATATAGAAAAAGAAACAATTCATGATTAATTACAAATATTCAGTAGTTTGGTTTTATTAACTCACTGACTGCTGCTGTTTTTGAGCAGACCAACTTTGTAGATAAACTTGTTTGAATTTGCTTGAGCCGTTGAATGTATCAATAGCAGATGAAGAAAAATATTATGCCAGTGTAGTGAGTATTCTGTAGTCTGCCAAATCTGTGACATGTAGTGAATTAATCTTAAATAAAAGGGTTAAAGTCCTAATTTGTCGTTTACATTATGTACACAGTGATCCTGGTCCTCGGTCCCGGTCTCGGCCTCGGTCTCGGTCTCATGAACCACAGAACAAACAGCTGAGGTTTGATTCCATCTCTGAGTAAACACCAGCGTGAATACGTTTGTTTGATGGTGGTCAGGAGTTATTGTAGAGAACATTTGGAGGAGCTGAGGAGGTGGAGAATGAGGTTGTGTCCTTGGGCAAGACGTCCACAGCAGCAGAGTGTGAGGGAGTGATGTCAGAGGCTACAGCGCCGTCTCCATCGGACTCATTACAACCACGTAAGGGTCCGGGTCTTCAGTCAGTAACGCACTAGTTAAACAAATGCATATCTTTTTATAGGTATTGTGACTCACTGTTCTTCGGTATCGACGAGAATAGATTCACTACAACGGTGTCAACGGAATAACAACACAGCTTTGAGGAGGCAAATGTCATAAACTAAACTTATTACTACATTTTCAGAGCTAGAAAAACAGAAACATGCAGAACACAGCAAACGCAAAAGAACGATACAGCACATAACCTTCCATAACAGACACAAAAACAACATGCTGCTAAATTATATAGAAAATAAATATGTTTATAATCCCAGAGGTGTTCCCAGCACTAACCAGGCCCTGTCCTGCTTAGCTTAGAGGTCTGACTGGACCTGGCTTTCACCTGCTAGTGCCATCCTAACTTCTCCTATAGAATGTTATCCCTCTGCTTTAAAAAGGTTAAAAAACACATGACAGTTTTTTACAGTGATGTTGTTACGGTAACGATCGTAAAAAGTACTTTTTAATAATTAATACTAAACGACTACAATAAATACAACTCTGTAAATCCACAGACACAATCCACATACAAATGCAAAAGATGAACTATTGAAAAATGTTCTTTAAAATAAACTTATTCCAATCAACATTTAAAAATAACCTTGACAGATAAGAGTCCTACATGCTAAATGCTAAATGCTAATTAGCTCCTGCTTCAGCCTTAAAAACTATGGCTTTTTAAAATCGTTCATTGGGAAGTTATTGACTGAATGAATGAATACTTTATTTTGAGCCACGGCAAACAAGAACAACGACAAAACAAATTAGAAAAAAGAAACAAAACATGCTAATTAACAAATATTCAGTATGATTGGTTTTATTAACTCACTGACTGCTGCCGTTTTTCATGATTTCACTGATTCTGAAGACCCACGGAATATTATTTCCTCAGACTACGTGAAATATGAAACCAGATTCTGAAAGACTGGATTGTCTACTTTCATCCGCAAAAATAAGTTTGTTTCTAGCCATTTCTATTGTCCTGTAATCCCCAGTCAAAAAGAGGGTCTCAGGCAAATTCGTCAAAAGCAATCAATGACATCAAGACTTTTAAACTCCCATCCCCTGTTTATTATCATGAATTAGCTTTTGTGGTTGCGTTAGCTTTGTAGCAAGTCAAATCTCTAACAAAATAAACTACACATTTACAGATATTTCAGCCTTTTTTAAACTATTCAGATGATCCTAAAGCAATGACACGGTGGACCTCATCAGTCTCTGCTCAGTCTAAAAGTAGAGGCGTAAAAAGAGCACATCCATTCAGTCCATAAATACTTCATAATGAGCAGAACACCCACTCGGAGACGGACAACGCTTCTTTTGGCTCGGTCTGTTGGACGTCTGAGAGCAGAGGGTTATTTATAGATTTTACTCATGTTTGGAGCGAGAGAAACAAGGAGCGCATTATCCACAGCTCCAGCGAACGCAAACTGTTTCCACAACAAAGACATGTGTTTTATTTATGTTTTCAGCCTTTTCAGAGCAGCAAAGGTTTGTACAAGGGAAGTTCATTGATAACATGTGGACATTTGTCTATGGACCAATGAGTCAGTAAGACATATTTATTTATATAGCGCCTTTCACAGACCAGAGCAAAGCAATTTAAAAAAAGAAAAACATGTATTTATTTAAAATATAAAAAACTCACAAAAGTCTGTAGCAGTTAGACATGGTCATTATCTATAGTGTCTGAGAGTTTAGTGCGTGTACACGGCTTCAGTAAAAGCTATTGTTCGTTTACAGCTGGTCTGGACATTTGTTGACGCTCCCTAAGCTTTTCTCGACGCCTGCAGCAATGAATTTTTCTGCCTTAAAGCACATTGGATTTGAACAATCAGAGTAGATGTGATCATTTTGGCACAATTACTTTTGTTTAACAAAGTAGCTTTCATGAGCTATTGACCACAGAAGTCCTAATCTGACGCTTACTTTACCAAACCGTGATGACGGGTTAACCTCAAGTCCCACCAGGGCCCAACAGAGTACCCAACATGGAGGGACTCCGCTGGGCCCCATGCAGTTTGATGACATAATGACCTATCGCAATACGCCGGTTTAACAAAAATCTGTCAATGGCCAAAGGTTTATTGCATACCGTTTATACTGTTTATACTGTTTATACTGTTTATACCGTTTATACTGTTTATACCGTTTATCTGGCCCAGCCCTATCTGAGACCGAGGGAACACTGCTCAGTGGGACCTGCAGTCACTTGTCCAGACACACCCTCGGCACAAAGCACACGGCACTTTAAACAAACAGGTGTTTTATAAACTCTGCTGCGTTTGTCTTCAGCGTGACTCACTCTGGGCCTTCACTTTTCTAAAGCCTCGGTACGAAGACTTTAATGTTCTCAAGACGCTCAGAAACCAGGAATCACAGAAGTCTGATCCTCTGATGGTGTTTGGGAACGATCTACAAGACTTTTTACTCAGAGGGACACTTTAGTTATACATATGAACCTGCTGGGACTCTGAGGAGCACAGGGACTGGACTCCTGCTGGGACTCTGAGGAGCACAGGGACTGGACTCCTGCTGGGACTCTGAGGAGCACAGGGACTGGCCTCCTGCTGGGACTCTGAGGAGCACAGGGACTGGCCTCCTGCTGGGACTCTGAGGAGCACAGGGACTGGCCTCCTGCTGGGACTCTGAGGAGCACAGGGACTGGTCTCCTGCTGGGACTCTGAGGAGCACAGGGACTGGCCTCCTGCTGGTCCCAGAGTCAGGACTAAAAACAGTCTTCCTGAAAATGTGAGACAGGCTTCTACTACATTCAAATCCAGGTTAAAAACAGTTAGCTGTGCATAAAACTGAAGGACTGAGTCTTCACTCTCGTTAATGTACTGTGATTATTTATGATTTTAAAGCCTTGTGCGACTGTTTCTATCTGCTTTTGTGGATTCCAAAAGGCACAGCATGACTATATTGGTGGGGCTGAAGTTGGCTGGATGACAGTGTGAAAGTACCTCAACAGTAACTTTGTGTTAGCGGGAGAGGGCCTCATAAATGACAGAAAGGGCCGCTTCTGGCTCGCGGGCCTTAGTTTGGACACGTCTAAAGTGTGGAAAAAATGCGTAATTTTAAGAGAAATAGTGCGTACACATGTCGTCGTGTCGTATCATCCTCTTATGCAGCCGGAGCACCAGGAGGAAACCTTTGCAGACGTGGAGAGAACGTCGCTCCCGTTCTGTAGCGAGTGACTTCATAGATAATCATAGAATCAGCCAAAAGACCAAGTAACAATCTCTGTAGTTATTTAGACGTGAGACTGGATCTAGATTTGGCTCCAGAAAAGCTGACGTGAATATTCAAGACAAAAGTGTTTTAATCCGTCAGATCACAACAAAAAAGTGACATTTACACTGCAGTTCCAACCTAGTTTTGGTATTTTAATATTACTTCATAGTTGGGTCCTCAAACAACAAGTGCATGGATTCAAGTGTGTGCGTGTGTGTGTGCGTGTGCGCGTGCGCGTGTGTGTGTGTGTCTTGCCCAAGGACACAATGACATCAGTGGGAGTCTGTGGAGAAGGTCTCTTGGTGGGCCTCGAACCCACGACCTTCAGGCTCAATGCTCTACACACTGAGCCACTGTCTCCCCATCAACCCGTCCAGCAGCGACGTTCTTTACAAAAACTAAGAATATCTGGGTCTTATCGATGACAAATTCGTAGCTTTTTAGTCTCAACATAAAAGTCTTTTTGAAGGAAACCCCAAAAACACCACAACTTTACTTTCTTTTTCTCTCATTCTTCCAAAGCTGACGTTCCCAGACTGTAAACAGCATCTCTGAAGTGTCAGGAAGTGTACGAACAGATCTGACCCCTGACCCCACAGTCGTCCGTGTCATAAACAGATCTGACCCCTGACCCCACAGTCGTCCGTGTCATGAACAGATCTGACCCCTGACCCCACAGTCGTCCGTGTCATAAACAGATCTGACCCCTGACCCCACAGTCGTCCGTGTCATGAACAGATCTGACCCCTGACCCCACAGTCGTCCGTGTTAGGAACAGATCTGACCCCTGACCCCACAGTCGTCCGTGTTAGGAACAGATCTGACCCCTGACCCCACAGTCGTCCGTGTTATAAACAGATCTGACCCCTGACCCCACAGTCGTCCGTGTTAGGAACAGATCTGACCCCTGACCCCACAGTCGTCCGTGTTATGAACAGATCTGACCCCTGACCCCACAGTCGTCCGTGTTAGGAACAGATCTGACCCCTGACCCCACAGTCGTCCGTGTTAGGAACAGATCTGACCCCTGACCCCACAGTCGTCCGTGTTATAAACAGATCTGACCCCTGACCCCACAGTCGTCCGTGTTAGGAACAGATCTGACCCCTGACCCCACAGTCGTCCGTGTTATGAACAGATCTGACCCCTGACCCCACAGTCGTCCGTGTTATGAACAGATCTGACCCCTGACCCCACAGTCGTCCGTGTTAGGAACAGATCTGACCCCTGACCCCACAGTCGTCCGTGTTAGGAACAGATCTGACCCCTGACCCCACAGTCGTCCGTGTTATGCACAGATCTGACCCCTGACCCCACAGTCGTCCGTGTTATGCACAGATCTGACCCCTGACCCCACAGTCGTCCGTGTTATGCACAGATCTGACCCCTGACCCCACAGTCGTCCGTGTTATGCACAGATCTGACCCCTGACCCCACAGTCGTCACTGATCCTGCTCAGACACAGATACTCTCCAGCTGCAGCCGGGTCAAAGGTCACTGCTAATCATAACGGCAAGGACAAAGCGAAACTAAATCATGGTTAAATGAGTGCAGCGATAAGACGGCTCAGAGATAACAGCAGGAGACTCGACCCAAACAGGACAACACACGTATCAGTGCAAGGAGGGGACCTGAACCCATGACCAAGACGATAATACACATGTGTGAGTCATGCCCGGTCTGAGGATGGTCTGGTGCGAGAGATTTCTGACTAAATTAGAGAGTTGTGCGTCTAAATGAGAGTTGTGTGTCTAAATGAGAGAGAGTTGTGTCTAAATTAGAGAGTTGTGTGTCTAAACGAGAGAGTTGTGTGTCTAAACGAGAAATTTGTGTGTCTAAACGAGAGAGTTGTGTGTCTAAAAGAAAGGGTTTGTGTCTAAAAGTGAGGGTTTGTGTCTATATGTAAGTGTTTTGTATATAAAAGGGGGAGATATTTGTCTAAATGAGAGAGATGTGTCTAAATGAGAGATTTGTGTCTAAATGAGAGATTTGTGTCTAAATGAGAGATTTGTGTCTAAATGAGAGATTTGTGCGTCTAAATGAGAGATTTGTGTCTAAATGAGAGATTTGTGCGTCTAAATGAGAGATTTGTGCGTCTAAATGAGAGATTTGTGCGTCTAAATGAGAGATTTGTGCGTCTAAACAAGAGAGTTGTGTGTCTAAGTGAGGATTTGTGTCTATATGTAAGTGTTTTGTGTCTAAAAGGGGGAGATTTGTGTCTAAATGTGAGAGAGTTATGTGTCTAAATGAGAGATTTGTGCGTCTAAATGAGAGATTTGTGTCTGAATGTGAGAGAGTTGTGTGTCTAAATGAGAGTGAGTTGTGTGTCTAAATGAGAGAGTTGTGTGTTATTGGGAAAGGGGGCAGGACACTGGGTTTGTCTGTGGCACCTGTAGAATCCAGGGACAGCTCCATTTCTGTGCATTAACGTCCCATGTATTAAATCCATGTATGTTTCTAATTAAAGCTGACATTAGGGTCACATCCTCAGCTCTGACACCCGCAGCGCAGTGTGACGTGGAAACACAACATTTGTTCAGTCCAGAAAGCATCAACACATTCTCACTATTTAGACTTTTGAGCTCATGGCAGTGGCCTAGTCCATGATTGATCTGTAAACACACAATCAATGAATGAATGTTGTCAGCTGATGACTTTTCCAAAAGAGCAGCCCACAAACCCACAAACCACCGCTGTACACCTGATTGATCATATGTTCTATACCCCCACAAACCCACAAACCACCGCTGTACACCTGATTGATCATATGTTCTATACCCCCACAAACCCACAAACCACCGCTGTACACCTGATTGATCATATGTTCTATACCCCCACAAACCCACAAACCACCGCTGTACACCTGATTGATCATATGTTCTATACCCCCACAAACCCACAAACCACCGCTGTACACCTGATTGATCATATGTTCTATACCCCCACAAACCCACAAACCACCGCTGTACACCTGATTGATCATATGTTCTATACCCCCACAAACCCACAAACCACCGCTGTACACCTGATTGATCATATGTTCTACCTCCACACTGACACAGAAGTCGTGACCACACATCCACACAGCTTTGAGGTTCGCCAAACGCACCAAACGTGAAGCCTGCGCGTAAACACATGTGCAGAACCAAACACATGTGCAGAACCAAACACATGTGCAGAACCAAACACATGTGCAGAACCAAACACATGGGCAGAACCAAACACATGTGCAGAACCAAACACACATGTGCAGAACCAAACACACATGTGCAGAACCAAACACACTGGGCAGAACCAAACACATGGGCAGAACCAAACACACTGGGCAGAACCAAACACACTGGGCAGAACCAAACACACTGGGCAGAACCAAACACATGTGCAGAACCAAACACACTGGGCAGAACCAAACACACATGTGCAGAACCAAACACACATGTGCAGAACCAAACACACTGGGCAGAACCAAACACACTGGGCAGAACCCAACACACTGGGCAGAACCAAACACACTGGGCAGAACCAAACACACTGGGCAGAACCAAACACACTGGGCAGAAGCAAACACACTGGGCAGAACCAAACACACTGGGCAGAACCAAACACACATGTGCAGAACCAAACACACTGGGCAGAACCAAACACACGTGCAGAACCAAACACACTGGGCAGAACCAAACACACTGGGCAGAACCAAACACACTGGGCAGAACCAAACACACTGGGCAAAACCAAACACATGTGCAGAACCAAACACACTGGGCAGAACCAAACACACTGGGCAGAACCAAACACACTGGGCAGAACCAAACACACTGGGCAGAACCAAACACACTGGGCAGAACCAAACACACTGGGCAGAACCAAACACACTGGGCAGAACCAAACACACTGGGCAGAACCAAACACACTGGGCAGAACCAAACACACTGGGCAGAACCAAACACACATGTGCAGAACCAAACACACTGGGCAGAACCAAACACACTGGGCAGAACCAAACACACTGGGCAGAACCAAACACACTGGGCAGAACCCAACACACTGGGCAGAACCAAACACACTGGGCAGAACCAAACACACTGGGCAGAACCAAACACACTGGGCAGAAGCAAACACACTGGGCAGAACCAAACACACTGGGCAGAACCAAACACACATGTGCAGAACCAAACACACTGGGCAGAACCAAACACACATGTGCAGAACCAAACACACTGGGCAGAACCAAACACACTGGGCAGAACCAAACACACTGGGCAGAACCAAACACACTGGGCAGAACCAAACACACATGTGCAGAACCAAACACACTGGGCAGAACCAAACACACTGGGCAGAACCAAACACACTGGGCAGAACCAAACACACTGGGCAGAACCAAACACACATGTGCAGAACCAAACACACATGTGCAGAACCAAACACACTGGGCAGAACCAAACACATGGGCAGAACCAAACACACTGGGCAGAACCAAACACACATGTGCAGAACCAAACACACATGTGCAGAACCAAACACACTGGGCAGAACCAAACACATGGGCAGAACCAAACACACTGGGCAGAACCAAACACACTGGGCAGAACCAAACACACTGGGCAGAACCAAACACATGTGCAGAACCAAACACACTGGGCAGAACCAAACACACATGTGCAGAACCAAACACACATGTGCAGAACCAAACACACTGGGCAGAACCAAACACATGGGCAGAACCAAACACACTGGGCAGAACCAAACACACTGGGCAGAACCAAACACACTGGGCAGAACCAAACACACTGGGCAGAACCAAACACACTGGGCAGAACCAAACACACTGGGCAGAACCCAACACACATGTGCAGAACCAAACACACTGGGCAGAACCAAACACACTGGGCAGAACCAAACACACAGGGCAGAACCAAACACACATGTGCATAACCAAACACACTGGGCAGAACCAAACACACTGGGCAGAACCAAACACACTGGGCAGAACCAAACACACATGTTCAGAACCAAACACACATGTGCAGAACCAAACACACTGGGCAGAACCAAACACACTGGGCAGAACCAAACACACATGTGCAGAACCAAACACACTGGGCAGAACCAAACACATGTGCAGAACCAAACACACTGGGCAGAACCAAACACACATGTGCAGAACCAAACACACATGTGCAGAACCAAACACACTGGGCAGAACCAAACACATGGGCAGAACCAAACACACTGGGCAGAACCAAACACACTGGGCAGAACCAAACACACTGGGCAGAACCAAACACACTGGGCAGAACCAAACACACTGGGCAGAACCAAACACACTGGGCAGAACCCAACACACATGTGCAGAACCAAACACACTGGGCAGAACCAAACACACTGGGCAGAACCAAACACACTGGGCAGAACCAAACACACATGTGCAGAACCAAACACACTGGGCAGAACCAAACACACATGTGCAGAACCAAACACACATGTGCAGAACCAAACACACTGGGCAGAACCAAACACATGGGCAGAACCAAACACACTGGGCAGAACCAAACACACTGGGCAGAACCAAACACACATGTGCAGAACCAAACACACTGGGCAGAACCAAACACACTGGGCAGAACCAAACACACTGGGCAGAACCAAACACACATGTGCAGAACCAAACACACATGTGCAGAACCAAACACACTGGGCAGAACCAAACACATGGGCAGAACCAAACACACTGGGCAGAACCAAACACACTGGGCAGAACCAAACACACTGGGCAGAACCAAACACACTGGGCAGAACCAAACACACTGGGCAGAACCAAACACACTGGGCAGAACCAAACACACATGTGCAGAACCAAACACACATGTGCAGAACCAAACACACTGGGCAGAACCAAACACATGGGCAGAACCAAACACACTGGGCAGAACCAAACACACTGGGCAGAACCAAACACACTGGGCATATTTATCAATGAGAGGTGGACTCACGTCTTCAAACAGGGACCCTAGGTTGGCCGTCACAAGCATTATCCCGGTTCCGTGCGTCGCTGTCAGCTTCCCTGTCAGCCCTGCCATGTTTCTCACTGTCTCTTGTAGATTTTTGCAGCTTTTGGGTTTGAGCAGTGGAAAGAGGAGGAAAAACACACACAAACCGATGGTCGTCTCTGTTTGGAGGGATCCGTGGATCTACAACAACTGACAACTCAAGCCCGGGTGGAAGCGGCTGGACTCGGGCATATTTTAGTCCGCGGTAGCCTCTTCTTATTCGTGCATCTACCGGGAGTTGCTGAGCAGTAGAAGAAGGATAGATAGACTGGGGGGAGAGAGAGAAGGCGACGCACGCTTGCTGCAAAAAGCTTGAACGTTCTGGAGGTTACTTTGGTGCGTAAAAGGCCATAGTCTCTGGAGGAAAAGTTGAGTTTAATCCACGGACGGAGCGACGGCGTTGACGGTCATCTCAGCAGCGTGTGTTGTCCCCTGGATCTGGCTCAGGACTCCCTAAAAACCAACCCAGGACCAGGACTGTGGCCAGCACGGGAGCATTGCACGGACCGTTTGCAGAGGATAGGCTGGGTGACGTCACGGAGCCAATGGAAACACGGCGCTTTCTTAAAGGCGTAGAGCGCTTTTACGCACGGCTCCGACGCCCCCCGCAGGACACGCGCTGAGCCCATTATCGGACAGGAGTTTATGGAAATATAGATGAAGATTATGAGATGTCTTATTATTATTTATTTGCTCCCACAGCGGGGAAATGTCAGTGTTGCATCATAAGTTCTAGAACAGAGCACACAGCACAAGATTAGACTTATTAAACTTAGACTGAGACTTTATTGATCCACAGGGAAACTGGGTTGTCACAGTAGCTTACATTCAACAATAAAAATAACAATAAAGTTACAATCTGTGAGATGATAAAGGATTGATTGATCTGAAAATAAGAATCACAATAAGATAATGTTGTGAGAATAGAATAATCTGGATATAGCGGCTCAGTGGTAAACATGTGAATATGTTCATTTACAGGATACATCTTTATGAAGTAATGAAGGATATACATCAAATCTGACAGAATTAAAAACTATTACTTTGAACTGATTGATTTACTTCATATTTTTGTTTCTAACTAACTCATCGGTGACTGATTTACTTCATGGCATTGTGTTCATTCAAAGCATAACTCTAACTTCCTAAACATCTGTTCATATACGGTATACACAGGGACAAAGGTGAAGTCTGTTTAATGTGTATCTGTCTCAGTGAACAATAACTAAACTAATTTAAATAAAACATCATCTCTAACTCCAGCATCAAAGAACAAGTAAAAATCTCTGTCTTTATCATAATATTAACAGTTTAATAACATAGATCCTTCTTTCTGCTTCATATCGACCCTTTCTCTTTCTCTGTCGTGGTTTGAGCTCAGTGGCTTTGAACATCAAGACTATTGGTCCTCACAGCTGTCAATCAAATAATTAAGACCAGAGAGGTTTTTTTTACACATGGAGAGGGCGGTTCTTTCATAACATTTGTGAAAATCCTCCTTTAAACCTTTAAGTCTTGCTTCTTCATCAGTCTAAAGGTTGTGCTGTGTCCGAGTCAGAATGACCCATAACAGAGATTAAAAACTGAAGAAAAATAAATCAGGAAATGAAAGGGTCTGACACAGGAAAAAAATCATCAAAATTCAGGAATGATAAAATGTTTAGGGTATTTTTTAATCACTGTGTTGGAACAATAGCACCAGGGTTAAGGTTTATTTACGTATTCTGCTAAAGATAGAGATTGTAAACTGCTGCTTTCTATGCTAGAATTAGAGATTTTAGTACAGAGATTATAGTCATTTATTTTGTGTTTCGTTACCTGTGATGCAACACTGAAATTTCCCCTCTGTGGGACCAATAGGATCTCTTCGTCTTGAATGCTAAATGCTAAATAAGTGTATGTGTTTGAGCGTTTGTGAGAATCCCAGAATGTCCACAGTGTGATGCTTCCTCCTCCGCGGGGGGCGCCCTGGGACCTCCTCCTCCGCGAGGGGCGCCCTGGGACCTCCTCCTCCGCGGGGGGCGCCCTGGGACCTCCTCCTCCGCGGGGGACGCCCTGGGACCTCCTCCTCCGCGGGGGGCGCCCTGGGACCTCCTCCTCCGCGAGGGGCGCCCTGGGACCTCCTCCTCCGCGGGGGGCGCCCTGGGACCTCCTCCTCCGCGGGGGACGCCCTGGGACCTCCTCCTCCGCGGGCCCTGGGACCTCCTCCTCCGCGGGGGACGCCCTGGGACCTCCTCCTCCGCGGGGGGCGCCCTGGGACCTCCTCCTCCGCGGGGGACGCCCTGGGACCTCCTCCTCCGCGGGGGGCGCCCTGGGACCTCCTCCTCCGCGGGGGGCGCTCTGGGACCTCCTCCTCCGCGGGGGGCGCCCTGGGACCTCCTCCTCCGCGGGGGGCGCCCTGGGACCTCCTCCTCCGGGACAGATGCTGGAGCCGCTGCTGCTGCTTCACACAACTACGAAAAATGTTTAAAGAAAACTAAAAAACAAGATCTAAGATTGTCTAAACACTGATAAAACCTTGAGTGTGAAGAAAAGATGAGGTCTCAAACTGTATCAATGAATTCATGTCAAAACTCCAACTAAAAATCTGAGGGAAAATCTGAAATCTGCTGTTTTTGAGTTGTTTTTTAAAGACGAATGGGAAAAACTGTCAGTCTCTCGATGTGCAAAGATTATAGACTGCTGTGATCGCTGCAGAAGTCCCACAGACTCTCTCTCTTTGATGACGACTGGAGCTGGAAGCCTTTCACCTGAGGTCCTCGTTCTACAGTCTGAGTCCTGCTTCTACAGCCTCAGTCCTCGTTGTACAGTCTGAGTCCTCGTTCTACAGCCTCAGTCCTCGTTCTACAGTCTGAGTCCTGCTTCTACAGCCTCAGTCCTCGTTGTACAGTCTGAGTCCTGGATCTACAGCCTCAGTCCTCGTTGTACAGTCTGAGTCCTGGGTCTACAGCCTCAGTCCTCGTTCTACAGTCTGAGTCCTGCTTGTACAGCCTCAGTCCTCGTTCTACAGTCTGAGTCCTGGATCTACAGCCTCAGTCCTCGTTCTACAGTCTGAGTCCTGGATCTACAGCCTCAGTCCTCGTTGTACAGTCTGAGTCCTGGATCTACAGCCTCAGTCCTCGTTGTACAGTCTGAGTCCTGCTTCTACAGCCTCAGTCCTCGTTGTACAGTCTGAGTCCTGCTTCTACAGCCTCAGTCCTCGTTGTACAGTCTGAGTCCTGGGTCTACAGCCTCAGTCCTCGTTCTACAGTCTGAGTCCTGGATCTACAGCCTCAGTCCTCGTTGTACAGTCTGAGTCCTGCTTGTACAGCCTCAGTCCTCGTTCTACAGTCTGAGTCCTGGATCTACAGCCTCAGTCCTCGTTGTACAGTCTGAGTCCTGCTTCTACAGCCTCAGTCCTCGTTGTACAGTCTGAGTCCTGCTTCTACAGCCTCAGTCCTCGTTGTACAGTCTGAGTCCTGCTTCTACAGCCTCAGTCCTCGTTGTACAGTCTGAGTCCTGCTTCTACAGCCTCAGTCCTCGTTCTACAGTCTGAGTCCTGCTTCTACAGCCTCAGTCCTCGTTCTACAGTCTGAGTCCTGCTTCTACAGCCTCAGTCCTCGTTGTACAGTCTGAGTCCTGCTTCTACAGCCTCAGTCCTCGTTGTACAGTCTGAGTCCTGCTTCTACAGCCTCAGTCCTCGTTCTACAGTCTGAGTCCTGCTTCTACAGCCTCAGTCCTCGTTCTACAGTCTGAGTCCTGCTTCTACAGCCTCATGCCGTGTTCAGACCGATCGCGATGGAGGAGTCAGGGGCGAGTGATTTACATGTTATGTCTATGGCCGGGTGCGCTCAGGAGCGAATGACAGGCCGGCGGTGCGAATGACGAGAGTAGAGCGAGGCGAACAGGGCGTTTTGAACGAAAAGAGCGGAACGAAAGTGGCGAAAGGGGCGTTTGACGCGCGCCTAGAGCCATTTCGCCTCCACCGCCCTACTCGCTCGAGTTGAAAAATCTGAACTTTTTGGTCAATTCGCGGGGCGTTGACCAATCAGGGACTGAATCGAGCAGTGACGTAGCATTGAAACCGCGGCGGAGACGAAGCATCTTTTCATTCAACATGGAGGACTCACTGATCGTAGCTGTGTGCCAGCGGCCCGAGTTGTATGACACCAGCAACTATTACTACAGATTAGTTTGGCATAAATCTAAAAGCTAAACAGTGGCACAATGGCTTTACATGTAAAGTACTTGGATTATAACATTTGGAATCTTATTTATTGAGAACCGCTTGATTTACTAACCGAAGACAGATGGACAGGCGCTCTGCAGGGGAGATAGAGCGCCTGTAGTTGGTCTCCCGGACGGTGATCCGAGCCCCAACGCGGGACAGCAGGTCCTCAAACTGGGTCCTGGACACACGGAAATACCGCTGGAATCGACCGTCATCCAGGCGCAGCTCCTGGAGCAGATGGTGGTACTCCCCATATTGGGAGCGTCTCTGGAGGATATCGTGGACCCAGAGACGGCGTCGCTGCCGCCGCTGTTCGGCTTTCCACATTAAATAAAGTATAGTGACTCGTTCCAGAAAATCAAAGCCCGCCATGCTGAGTTGAACAACAACCGGAACCGGCAACTGGCCATAAGCTCCTCCTATTGGATGACGCGGCGAGGCGAAATCTCGACGAAAATCCGCAGGCGAACAGAGCGAGTAATCGCCGCGATAGAAGCGAGTGTCATCAAATATTCAAGCGAAAAACGCCTGGCGTTTGATGCGATTTTTTCGCCTCCATCGCGATCGGTCTGAACACGGCTTCAGTCCTCGTTGTACAGTCTGAGTCCTGCTTCTACAGCCTCAGTCCTCGTTGTACAGTCTGAGTCCTGCTTCTACAGCCTCAGTCCTCGTTGTACAGTCTGAGTCCTGCTTCTACAGCCTGTCTCCTTTTCTCCTCAGTCGCTTCTCGCCGACAGTAATGTCCAGTTCAGTTTAATCTCATCTTAACTTATTTAAGGACATTTATTGACAGTAAAGTGGGTTAAGTGTCTTGCCCAAGGACACAACAACAGCAGACGTCAGTGAGAGTCGGTGCAGAAAGTCTCATGGGGGATCGAACCCACAACCTTCAGGCTCAAAGACCACTGCTCCTCCACCGACTGATCCAGCTGTTTGTTATTGTTGTTCATTTTGATTTTCTGATCTGTTGTTGAATCAATAACTTTATGAATTCCTGAGATTCTTCTGTCGTGATTCAGGATTACACAAAAAGATTTCAATTGAAAACGTGTGAAGAATACAAAAGTGCTTCATTTTTGTATCGTTTTAAAGATGTATTCAAGAGTGTTTTTGCCATTTGCAGTAAAACCACATTGGAATAACCGTGCGAGCCTCCCCCACTGTGCCCGGGACAGAACACACCAGGTCCACTTTTTATTCCAGCGCCATCTCATGTTTTTTTTGTGTGAATGAAAGAAAAATGATACAAAAATGCACCACTTTTTAAAAACTTTTCTTTCACATTCTTTGCACATCTAGAGACTGAAAGTTTTTCCCATTCGTCTTTACAAAACAACTCAAGAACAGCAGTTTTCAGATTATTCCCTCAGATTAATTAAGTTGGATTTTGATTTGGACGTTGACCACAGACTGTAAATATTAACGTACAGTAGTCTCGCCTGTCTCCGCCGTTCTAACTATGTGCCACAACTTCTGCGGTCTATCGGCAGTTTCAAAATGGCCGCGGGGGCTGGAAACTGTGAAAAAATGCATCTGTGCATGAGTCAGCTGCAGGAGCCCCATTCATTTCTAAATTTCTAAAGTCCACAGCGACTAAACTAGACTGGTCCAGAACACTCAGCATTGACACACATGTGGAACGGAGCTTTGGGCCAAGAGACACTTTTGGACCATCCTGTAAAGACGTTTTCCAGAGGTAAGAAGGTGCTATGTGTTAGCATTGGCTAATTCTTATTCCGGGTCCACCCCCACAGGCCCGGGGCGGTACTGCAGCATGTCAGGGTCCACCCCCACAGGCCCGGGGTGGTACTGCAGCATGTCAGGGTCCACCCCCACAGGCCCGGGGTGGTACTGCAGCATGTCAGGGTCCACCCCCACAGGCCCGGGGTGGTACTGCAGCATGTCAGGGTCCACCCCCACAGGCCCGGGGTGGTACTGCAGCATGTCAGGGTCCACCCCCACAGGCCCGGGGTGGTACTGCAGCATGTCCTGGTCCACCCCCACAGGCCCGGGGTGGTACTGCAGCATGTCAGGGTCCACCCCCACAGGCCCGGGGTGGTACTGCAGCATGTCAGGGTCCACCCCCACAGGCCCGGGATGGTACTGCAGCATGTCAGCGCACGTCATTTTGGCCACTTTTGAGCCGGGACCCGCCCACACTGGTTCTAACACATGAACACATTTATTTAGTTTGAAGGAAAAATGATACGAAAATGCACCACTTTTGTATCATTTTTCTTTCACTTCAAACAAAACAAACTTTATTGTACACGACAAACAAACATGTGTTGTGTGTGTCTCAGGATTCTGACCGTATCCACAAACACTCTTTGTAATTGAAATCAGAAGCGGTGCCGCCGTCGCCCGGTAGACTTCCCGTTGCGTGAGTCTGATCCAGACCCAAACTTTGAGACTTTGATCCAGAGATTTTCTGCTCCCAGTTTGGAAAATACTCAAAAGCACTGAGTAAAAGTAAACAGGAAGTAACACCTGAGAAAGAGACCAGAGAGAGACCAGCGAGAGAGACCAGAGAGAGACCAGAGAGAGACCAGAGAGAGAGACCAGAGAGACCAGAGAGAGACCAGAGAGAGACCAGAGAGAGACCAGAGAGAGAGACCAGAGAGAGACCAGAGAGAGACCAGAGAGAGACCAGAGAGAGAGACCAGAGAGACCAGAGAGAGACCAGAGAGAGACCAGAGAGAGACCAGAGAGAGAGACCAGAGAGAGACCAGCGAGAGAGACCAGAGAGAGACCAGAGAGAGACCAGAGAGAGACCAGAGAGAGACCAGAGAGAGAGACCAGAGAGAGACCAGAGAGAGACCAGAGAGAGACCAGAGAGAGACCAGAGAGAGACCAGAGAGAGACCAGAGAGAGACCAGAGAGAGACCAAGGAGAGACCAGAGAGAGACCAGGAAGAGACCAGAGAGAGACCAGAGAGAGACCAGAGAGACCAGAGAGAGAGACCAGAGAGAGAGACCAGAGAGAGAAACCAGAGAGAGACCAGAGAGAGACCAGAGAGAGAGACCAGAGAGAGAGACCAGAGAGAGAAACCAGAGAGAGACCAGAGAGAGACCAGAGAGAGAGACCAGAGAGAGAGATCAGAGAGAGAGACCAGAGAGAGAAACCAGAGAGAGACCAGAGAGAGACCAGAGAGAGAGACCAGAGAGAGACCAGAGAGAGACCAGAGAGAGACCAGAGAGAGACCAGAGAGAGACCAGAGAGAGAGACCAGAGAGAGAGACCAGAGAGAGAAACCAGAGAGAGACCAGAGAGAGAAACCAGAGAGAGACCAGAGAGAGAGACCAGAGAGAGAAACCAGAGAGAGACCAGAGAGAAACCAGAGAGAGACCAGAGAGAGAGACCAGAGAGAGACCAGAGAGAGAGACCAGAGAGAGAAACCAGAGAGAGACCAGAGAGAAACCAGAGAGAGACCAGAGAGAGAGACCAGAGAGAGAGACCAGGGAGAGACCAGAGAGAGACCCCTTTCCCCCGCTCCAGTGGAAAAGGTCTTATCAGTCTGTTTGCAGAAGCAGTGGGAATCCTCTGGTCACATGACTGGAGTTTGCTCACTTAACTATCACTAAAGAGGAGCGGGCCCAAATTCACGCCTCATTATAACAACTATAAACTAATTCTTTAAAGGATTCAAAGCAATATATAAACAAACATGATGGACATGAAATGAGAGAGAAAAGTCTGAAATACATAAATGCTCTATTTTAATAACTTTCATATTCACTACTGGTTAGTGCTGTGATGGGAGACCTCTGAAGCTAAGCAGGGCAGGGCCTGGTTAGTGCTGTGATGGGAGACCTCTGAAGCTAAGCAGGGCAGGGCCTGGTTAGTGCTGTGATGGGAGACCTCTGACGCTAAGCAGGGCAGGGCCTGGTTAGTGCTGTGATGGGAGACCTCTGACGCTAAGCAGGGCAGGGCCTGGTTAGTGCTGTGATGAGAGACCTCTGAAGCTAAGCAGGGCAGGGCCTGGTTAGTGCTGTGATGAGAGACCTCAGGGAACAGCAGGTGCCACAGTGGGGCGGCTGCGGCTGTAAAGTGCCAAACTGTGGTTGTGTCCTTAGGCAAGACACTTCCCCCACATTATTATTATAGTAGCTTTTAAGCCACACATTGTTTCTTAAAAGCGGCTAAAAAACATTAAAACAACTATAACTCATGAATATTCGCGCCACATTAAGGTGAGCATGTGTTTGAAGGAAAGCCCTGTGTCTCAGTGTCAGAGTCAGCTGTGGACCACTGTCTATTTATACACCAGAGAGACCAGAGAGAGACCAGAGAGAGACCAGAGAGAGACCAGAGAGAGACCAGAGTGAGACCAGAGAGAGACCAGAGAGAGAGACCAGAGAGAGACCAGAGAGAACCAGAGAGAGACCAGAGAGAGACCAGAGAGACCAGAGAGAGACCAGAGAGAGACCAGAGAGAGAGACCAGAGAGAGACCAGAGAGACCAGAGAGAGACCAGAGAGACCAGAGAGAGACCAGAGAGAGAGAAGAGAGAGAGACCAGAGAGAGACCAGAGAGAGAGACCAGAGAGAGACCAGAGAGAGACCAGAGAGAGACCAGAGAGAGACCAGAGAGAGACCAGAGTGAGACCAGAGAGAGACCAGAGAGAGACCAGAGAGAGACCAGAGAGAGACCAGAGTGAGACCAGAGAGAGACCAGAGAGAGAGACCAGAGAGAGACCAGAGAGAGACCAGAGAGAGACCAGAGAGAGACCAGAGAGAGACCAGAGAGAGACCAGAGAGAGAGACCAGAGAGAGACCAGAGAGAGACCAGAGAGAGACCAGAGAGAGACCAGAGAGAGACCAGAGAGAGACCAGAGTGAGACCAGAGAGAGACCAGAGAGAGACCAGAGAGAGCCTACCTGCCTGAGGAGATAAGGCACCTTCAATTTCTTCTTTTAAATCACTTTTTAAAACCCACTTTTGTTGAACAGATTTTTACAGTTAGTTTTAAATTTCCCATGTTATATTTGACCTATATTATTCTGACTTTGTATTATCAAGACTGTTTTTATTGTTTATTTTTCTGACTGTGCACTGCTTTGTTAACTTTGTTTTTGAAAAGTGCTGCACAAAAAATATGTATTATTATTATTATCATTATTCTTCTTTATTGATCCACAGATGTTAAAATTCAAGTGGATCACAGACTTTATAACACTGTGAGGTCCTCCTGCGCTGGCCAATCAGAGGGCTTCTCCACATGGTGTCCTGGTCATACTGGTCCTACTGCGCTGCTCCACATGGTGTCCTGGTCTTCCTGGTCCTCCTGCGCTGCTCCACATGGTGTCCTGGTCTTCCTGGTCCTCCTGCGCTGATCCACATGGTGTCCTGGTCTTCCTGGTCCTCCTGCGCTTCTCCACATGGTGTCCTGGTCATACTGGTCCTACTGCGCTGCTCCACATGGTGTCCTGGTCTTCCTGCGCTGCTCCACATGGTGTCCTGGTCTTCCTGGTCCTCCTGCGCTGATCCACATGGTGTCCTGGTCTTCCTGGTCCTCCTGCGCTGCTCCACATGGTGTCCTGGTCTTCCTGGTCCTCCTGCGCTGCTCCACATGGTGTCCTGGTCTTCCTGGTCCTCCTGCGCTGCTCCACATGGTGTCCTGGTCTTCCTGGTCCTCCTGCGCTGATCCACATGGTGTCCTGGTCTTCCTGGTCCTCCTGCGCTGATCCACATGGTGTCCTGGTCTTCCTGGTCCTCCTGCGCTGATCCACATGGTGTCCTGGTCTTCCTGGTCCTCCTGCGCTGCTCCACATGGTGTCCTGGTCTTCCTGGTCCTCCTGCGCTGCTCCACATGGTGTCCTGGTCTTCCTGGTCCTCCTGCGCTGCTCCACATGGTGTCCTGGTCTTCCTGGTCCTCCTGCGCTGATCCACATGGTGTCCTGGTCTTCCTGGTCCTCCTGCGCTGATCCACATGGTGTCCTGGTCCTCCTGCTATGCTCCACATGGTGTCCTGGTCTTCCTGCGCTGATCCACATGGTGTCCTGGTCTTCCTGGTCCTCCTGCGATGATCCACATGGTGTCCTGGTCTTCCTGGTCCTCCTGCGCTGATCCACATGGTGTCCTGGTCTTCCTGGTCCTCCTGCGCTGCTCCACATGGTGTCCTGGTCCTCCTGCGCTGATCCACATGGTGTCCTGGTCTTCCTGGTCCTCCTGCGCTGATCCACATGGTGTCCTGGTCTTCCTGGTCCTCCTGCGCTGATCCACATGGTGTCCTGGTCTTCCTGGTCCTCCTGCGCTGATCCACATGGTGTCCTGGTCTTCCTGGTCCTCCTGCGCTGATCCACATGGTGTCCTGGTCTTCCTGATCCTCCTGCGCTGCTCCACATGGTGTCCTGGTCTTCCTGGTCCTCCTGCGCTGATCCACATGGTGTCCTGGTCTTCCTGGTCCTCCTGCGCTGCTCCACATGGTGTCCTGGTCTTCCTGGTCCTCCTGCGCTGCTCCACATGGTGTCCTGGTCTTCCTGGTCCTCCTGCGCTGATCCACATGGTGTCCTGGTCTTCCTGGTCCTCCTGCGCTGATCCACATGGTGTCCTGGTCTTCCTGGTCCTCCTGCGCTGATCCACATGGTGTCCTGGTCTTCCTGGTCCTCCTGCGCTGCTCCTAAAGTGGTTTCTTCTTCTCTAAACCTCTTTGTCTGAGTGACCGCTGTTGATCATAAACTTAACCACATCCAGAGCATTTGGACAAAGGCCTTTAATGGTTTGAAAGAGAAAGTAAAAATAGCTCTGTCCGGAAAGAACCAGGAGTGAGTCAGAGACCACATGTTTGGACCATGTGTCACACTCACACAGAGCAGTCAGTTTGACGGGTTTTTGTTTTGGAAGTCTCATTACGCGGCTTATGTACAGTTTGGTCTCCATGACTTTTTCTGCTTCATGTGCAGCGTGTCTAAATGCACCGATACTACTTTAGTCACAACCTGTTAGTACTTTAATGTGAGTACTTTAATGTGAGTACTTTAATGTGAGTACTTTAATGTGAGTACTTCCTGATACCGAATACCATTACGAGTAGATTGTGTTTTCTCTGTGAATTCATAAAAAACTAACACAAGCTAATTTCAAATGTTTTATTTCTCATTTCAACAACAATAAAATGCTTTTACATAAAAACATCTTCGCAATAGTTTAAACAGACAACAATAAGAGCCACGGTCATATTCCACTCACACACATGGTGCTAGCTAAGGTGCTATACTCCGGTGCTAGCTAAGGTGCTATACTCTGGTGCTAGCTAAGGTGCTATACTCCGGTGCTAGCTAAGGTGCTATACTCTGGTGTTAGCTAAGGTGCTATACTCCGGTGCTAGCTAAGGTGCTATACTCTGGTGTTAGCTAAGGTGCTATACTCCGTGCTGTGCTGAGTTTTATAAAGCTGTTTGTTTTGCGACACAGCGTACAGTCGCTTCACTCTTGTCTCTCGTTTACTTTAAAAACGACCACACGGCGACCTCTGTTAGCTGTTAGCTTGTTTTCTGGCTGCAGACTTTGGGAGGTCACCATGGCAACACATCTGTCTGCCATTGTGACGCTGATGTAAAACATCGGTTGCCGGGATCAGGTCCTATGGTGCGAGTACAAGCCGATGGTATCGACCCGGTCCCTGATGTATTTTAACGTAATAATGTTTGTGACATGATGTCGATCCGAGACTGGTCACATGTGCTGGTTACCGTAGTAACGCACTGTTTACATTATTGATTTCAAATACAAATCAATAATAAAACTATTGAAAGAGTAGAGGAGTTCAAGAATCTTGGAGGACTCATGGACTCTCATCTTAAATTTGGAGCTCATGTGAAAAAGATAACAAAGACTGTCAAGATCAACTTGAACTGTTTCCGTCTAATAAGATCAAAACTCTCAATCAGTGCAGCCAAGCTGTTCTTCCATTCAATGATCCTGTCCCATTTTCATATTGCATCACTGTGTGGGGCCAAGCTAACCAGTCCACCATGAAAGGTTTGAACTCTCTGTACAAGCAAGCTCTGAAAGTGCTCGATAAAAAGCCCACTTTGTGGCACCATTGCAAAGTTCAGGAAAAATATAATCTTTTAAGTTTTGATAATTTTATAACATACTTTTTTATTAAACTAGTCTTTAAATGTGTAAACAACCTCGCTCCCAATATCGCTGCAGGAATGATTGAGAAATGTGTAGCTCACAGGATGACCACTAGGGGCGCTGCCAACAGAGACTGCAGAGCAACAAGATGTAAACATCATTTGGACAGACTGCGTTCGCAGTGAAAGGGCCACAGCTTTGGAACACGTTACCTGCAGAACTGAAAGCCCTAACAGACTTGAAGGAGTTTAAAATTAAAGTCAAACTATGGCTCAAAAGGACCCAAACTTGTGAGCATAATGCAAGACTGTAATCATTTATTGTATTCTTTTTGTTTTTTTGTTTTTTTTGTTTTTTGTATTGTATTCTTGTTTATTATTTAGTATAACTTATTACTTATTTTTTAATAAAATGATGTATGTATAATGTAAATGTGATGTATTTCTAGGTCTGCAAACTAGCTGTTAGCTACACGGCCTATGAACACAGCATCAGTTCCTGTAACAATGCTTCTTGTTCTGTCCCTACCAAATAAACAAATAATAATAATAATGCAGCAGTCAGTGTTTAGTTTTGGTCAATTACAGTTACTAGTTTAGCATGTTCTAAAAACCTAATTTTAATAAAAAGAAATAGTGAAAAACAAAACTGTATTTTGGGAATCCCACATGAGAACGGCAGCCGTCGCTCTGGGAGTTCTGGTATTTTCTGAATTCCACAATTTACAATTTGTCCATTAAAAACAGTGCTGACTCTTTTCACGTTTTAGAGAAGTCAAACTGGCTCCAGACCGGGCCGCGGTGGCTGCAGGTGTTTATTCCAACCAAGCAGTTGAGGAAAGGAGTCTGACATGCTCCTGCTTGGTTGGAATGAAAACCTGCTGCCACACAGGCCCTCTGAGGACCAGCAGTTTAAATATCTAAAGCAGAATATAAACAATGGCACAAATATCAAGGGTCATGGTCAAGACTAGAGTTAGGGTTAGCTTTGACTAATTAGCACTTCCTTAGCTGTTAGCATAGAGCTAATCGGTAACACTTTACATTACGGGCCGGTAAGTCCATGGTACTTATTGTGGTACTTACAGAGGTACTTACAGTGGTACTTCTAGGTACTTATTGTGGTACTTACAGAGGTACTTACAGTGGTACTTCTAGGTACTTATTGTGGTACTTACAGAGGTACTTACAGTGGTACTTATTGTGGTACTTACAGTGGTACTTCTAGGTAGTTATTGTGGTACTTACAGTGGTACTTAGAGGTACTTATTGTGGTACTTACAGTGGTACTTCTAGGTACTTATTGTGGTACTTACAGAGGTACTTACAGTGGTACTTCTAGGTGCTTACAGTGGTACTTAGAGGTACTTATTGTGGTACTTACAGTGGTACTTCTAGGTACTTATTGTGGTACTTACAGAGGTACTTACAGTGGTACTTACAGTGGTACTTACAGTGGTACTTCTAGGTACTTATTGTGGTACTTACAGTGGTACTTACAGTGGTACTTACAGTGGTACTTCTAGGTACTTATTGTGGTACTTACAGAGGTACTTACAGTGGTACTTACAGAGGTACTTACAGTGGTACTTCTAGGTACTTATTGTGATAATTCTAGATACAGCTGTAACTTAGTAATTCAAGGATACTACAGCATTATCCTATGTAGTAAATGTGGTACTTCTACATACATACATACAGAGGTCATTTGTAGGATTGTTTGACTATAAAACATAAAACAACATTATGTAAAACAAACGTCTTTATTAATATGGAATAAGTAGCACAGAAAGGACAGTATAAATACATTTAATGCATATTTCAAAACAAGTTTCAAGGACAAGGGAAACACTGCAAGAACTAGGTACCCAACCCAAGTAACAAGAATTACACATTAACACACCAGTAAGACTTGGCAGCAAGTACCAGGTACTTGGCAGCAAGTACTTGGCAGGTACTTGGCAGCAAGTACCAGGTACTTGGCAAAAAGTACCAGGTACTTGGCATGCAAGTACCAGGTACTACCAGGTACTTGGCAGCAAGTACCAGGTACTTGTACCAGGTACTTGGCAGCAAGTACCAGGTACTTGGGCAGCAAGTACCAGGTACTTGGCAGCAAGTACCAGGCAGCAAAGTACCAGGTACTTGGCAGCAAGTACCAGGTACTTGGCAGCAAGTACCAGGTACTTGGCAGCAAGTACCAGGTACTTGGCAGCAAGTACCAGGTACTTGGCAGCAAGTACCAGGTACTTGGCAGCAAGTACCAGGTACTTGGCAGCAAGTACCAGGTACTTGGCAGCAAGTACCAGGTACTTGGCAGCAAGTACCAGGTACTTGGCAGCAAGTACCAGGTACTTGGCAGCAAGTACCAGGTACAAGGCAGCAAGTACCAGGTACTTGGCAGCAAGTACCAGGTACTTGGCAGCAAGTACCAGGTACTTGGCAGCAAGTAACCAGGTACTTGGCAGCAAGTACCAGGTACTTGGCAGCAAGTACAGGTACTTGGCAGCAGTACCAGGTACTTGGCAGCAAGTACCAGGTACAAGGCAGCAAGTACCAGGTACTTGGCAGCAAGTACCAGGTACTTGGCAGCAAGTACCAGGTACTTGGCAGCAGTACCAGGTACTTGGCAGCAAGTACCAGGTACTTGGCAGCAAGTACCAGGTACTTGGCAGCAAGTACCAGGTACTTGGCAGCAAGTACCAGGTACTTGGCAGCAAGTACCAGGTAC